TCAATCGTTTCTACTCACGAATAAACGGTAACGAAAATTTTAAAAGCGTTTTACTCGAAACAGCATTTTCTTTTGTAATTTAATCGTCACCTATTTTTTTAGTGAAATACGTAGGATTTTCTCAAAATATTGATATTTCGATTTTCTGTATAACTTTGAATAACAAAATGTTTGATTGAAAACCTGTTTTACTTTAAATCGATGCCATTTTATCAAAAATGCATATTTTTGAAAACGGCTACGTATTTCTCTAGCGTTTTGACTAAAAAATCTATTTTTTTTGTTTCATTGTTCTAAGTCACATCTAGATTGAGTTATCGTGCCCACCATTTGATCCTCTTTTTTTGAAGCGCACCCGATCAGCAGTCGAGCTGATTATCGATTTTTCATATATCAACAAAAACAATGATTTCTACTTTAATATATGTATAATAAATTAATATAATTTATAATTTTCATAAACACTGCATTTCTTTAAAAACAAATTCCCGAAAAAGGCTTAAATTTTGAAGCAGTCAAAGTGGTGTTACCCCTTAATATAGGTCCAGACGGAGGGGGTTTCGACGGGGCTTCCACGCGTCACACGTTCGCAAAATCCGTCTTTTCTCGTATGAAGCCCCGATGAACGATGTCCACAAAAGCCTACGTCCGCGAGGGGGAAGCCGCCACCGCGGGGAACAACCTCGTACGTGTCCACCCTTTCGTGTCCGCCGGACAATGGAGGGTGAGTAACCCCATCTGCGCGAGGGCGACGGAGGATACGGAAAGAAAACGACTCGCGCTCGAAACGCGATACCTTTCGATCCACGTGGACAACTCGACTCGTTTTACACGTGTACCACCACCATGGTATCGCGTCGAGAAAGAAATGGCAAAAAAAAAAAAACAGGAATCATTCGTTAAACTTTGATCGTGTCCTCGTTTGCTCGAATGGAAACGATCAACGAGCAATTCGAACGCTTCTATCTCCTCGAGGGAGGTGTGTAAATATCGAAGAGTAGGAAGAAAATAAAAAAATTCGCTTATGTAATGAACAAAGAGAAAGAGAATTTCAGAGTGAATTTTCGTAATAGAGAGAAATAGAATCGTCTAATTGGATTTTATACTTAAGCCTAATCCTCGGCATGGCTATTGCCCCGATAATTCATCGATGAGTCTGCTTAAAATGTTCAAAATTGATGGAAAAATATGCGTTTAACCTGTTAACTCTCCCACAGAGTGAGGAATTAAAATCAAGCAATGACGAGTATACATTTTAATTTAAATGGTCCTATTATAAATTTTACGAAGAAACTAATAAAGTAAAACGAGGAAGGATTACATTTTTATTCGATAAAAAATTAGCAATTCATCGTTGAAAAGGTTATTGTTATTGAAAACTTAAAAATTGTTAAAAAATAATAAAATTCATAAACAAGAAATTTTAAAGAATAAAGTGACTTTAAGAAGTTGGGGACACCAGATACCAGATGCATTGGGGAAAATAATTAACTTAGTTTGTAAAAAGTAATGCATTATACGGGGAATATTCGATACAACAAAGAGAATAATCAAACTCTTTTGTATAAAATACATGGCAGTTTTATTGGCGATACCTATAAAGAAAACATACCACCAAACAATATTCTTATTACATTTTATTGAAACTTCGAATTTTTATAATCAATAGCAATCTTTTATTTTACACAACGAGGATACACGTCAACCGCACCGCAATAGAGATTTGATTCGACGTGTATAGACGTCAAACGCAGTTAAAGGGTTAATGAGATGAATATTGCAAATTCTTTCGACCATTTCGAGGGAGACAAGTAGGAGGACCGGACATGAATCGAGTCCAGAAGAAAAAACGTGTCGCACCCACGTCTGCCGTTTAACGACATATCTCATTATCCTCGTTAAGAATGGACTAGTTAAAAAGGGTTAATCGTCGATTGATAATTGGATCGAAATTAGAAGTAGCCGCTTATGGGATACGTTCGAATGAAATTGACATTGGTTCTCTGTGACTCACTCGTACAAATAATTCATCGATTATCGCTTTGTAGATTGAAAGAAGAAGGCTACCCTTTAATTTCATTCATTGCGATCGCCATTTAATCGAAAATTTCAATCTCCAAATTTATTATTTTTAATTCGATAGTGTAATTATTTCAAATTTAAATAAATTTCTGTCTTCTAGTCATAGAAAATCAGTAATAATATTTATAATCATCTAGTTACCTAATTTTGTCCCGAGTTTATTAAATATTTCAAGGAGACTCTAATAGAAATCCAAGTTAGCAAGGACTCTACTTGTCGCAAAATCGAATCGAAGCTTTGGCAATCGCGAAGTTGGTCCAGCGATTTTCCATTTGGCAATTGTCCCGAGCTGTTTAAGCCTGTTCGGTTAGGTCAAGACCGGTGAACCATGTATACGGATTCCCAAGTAGGCCATGATTCCACGCGCGGCAAAGATTCCAGTTAACTACTCAAATATTAACCGATTACCATTTTCTGTTTGCCATCCTCCTTTCTAGTTTCTTCGGATTGCAACCGTGGCACGGAAAGTAGGTGGAACAATGCAAATTACTAGTTTCTTCTTTTTCCAAGAAGCTTTTGAATGAATTTATATTTCTCTTAAAGAAACGATCGAATTTCTTGAAAAATGAAAATTCGAGGTAGATATAAAACGATGAATAATCCTCGAAGAAATTCTCGCTGTTACAATGCAGTTTCATGAAACAACACCTCGGGGCTGTAGTTTTTCAAGTAACTATATGTCATCGAAGGAACAGGTTCCAGAAGCAAGCGAGAGATGTTCAAGAAGCATCAAAGATGGGCCTGTTTATCACTCGAGGACAAAGACCGTACTGTACGGGGTCTTGTATAGAGCAGCCATTGTAACGGGAGCATCGATGGGAAACAGGCTGATCCCTGCAAGCTGCAGATAAACATCGATCGAGCTTGATATTACTGATTTGATTAAAATACGATAACGATCCTTTCTTATCTACAGCCTTTTATATCGTGACTTTACACAGGTGCGAATAGAGTCACGCTATTTAAGAATATCTCGGAGTCTCTCTCCATGGTCCGCCGTTCAAGAGTTTCGTTTAATATTTCGTCTCGTGGTTAATACTAAACCCTAGTGAAAAATCCACTCGCATTTTCGTTGCTCGATAATTGCCCGTTTCTTGGAAATGCTCGTCCCGAGCTGCGAATCGTCGAGCGGCTACTGTTAAGCTAAAAATCATGACGACGAGGGCAATTAAGTGACAAAACGACGGGAGGTGACATCCTTGCAATTAGAGACACACGGAGCCGCGTACACGTCAATTATTCGAGGGCGTTGACCACGTTTTAACGAAGCTCAATTGCATAAATCTTTTGACCTGCGAAACGTCGACAACCTTTTTTTTCTCTCTCTACTTTTCTAGAGAAGAGCGGGAAAAATGAACAATTCTTGAGAGAAAAAAGAAAAAGATTCTCTTACGAACTGATATTCAGACAAGGTGTTTGTTCTCGCGGAAAATGGCAAGAATGCGGTGAAAAAATACCATTAAGTAATTAGACGGTTAATCTTTTCTGTGCCGCGTAAGAGGCTCGGTACACACGAAGCAGCAGTCACGCTTTCTAAATTTCATCGTCTTCCTACTCTTTTGTTCTTGCGCCTTCTAACTTTTGACACGTCTAGACTTACTTCTGTTACGCGGTTCCTGAACGCGAACCATGAAGAATCGGAGAAGAAACGCTGGAGAGATTGAAATTTTTGAAAGGGTTCATTGTTGAACGATTCGTGAAGAAATTTGGGTGAAATTCATTTTCGTCTACTTTGTTTATTATAATATCGAGAAATTCTTTTTTTTTTTATCTAAGAAAACAGCCACTGTTCCTTGATTACTGACAGTCATTTGAATTCATGCTCGCTGGTCGGCGAGTAATTAGAAAATTCCTCCGAAAGGATGTGCGACTTCCTGCGAGGAGTCCCGGCAATTTTTATCAGCCGGCAAACCACTTAAGTTACTCTTAAAGCACTGTTTCAAAGTACCGCTGTAACAGTTGTTTATCCTATATCCATTGAAACTACTACAACCATCGAATTTTTTTTTTCTACGATAAGAATCCGCCTCGGTTTATCGAGAAATTTAAATAACAGAAAGCTCGAACACGAGAAAGTAATTTAAATCCCATTTTTAGCCTGCAATTTCTCTCGGCATTGAACTTGGAAGTTTTTAGAATCCTTCGGTTAAAGATAGTAAAGAGTGCGCTGCAGCATCGTTTCCAAAGTGGCGACCAGATTCAAGGACTGCCCTTCGGCATGTAAATCGATCGAACCAGTCACGGTTGACGACGGATACCACCGCATCCTGTCACTGTCGAAACGTCATCGTCCCAAATCAACTTCCGTTCTCACACCACAATACCTTTCAACTTCCTCGAGAATCAACGAAAATAAAAAACAGCTTATGCACGAATTACACCCACTTATCTGGAATATAATCCTATATTTCAACTGGGTTGAAAATGATTCAACTACGAACTAGTCAGTGTCAAGGTAATGGCACCTTCTTGTCAATGACGATTTTTGTTATTTTGAATAAAGGGAGCTTGGAATAATTGTAAGAAATTTAAAAAATAATAATTTTGCAAAATCGCAGCACGCACCCTTTGAAAATAGGGAAGAAATTAAAATGATTACTTTCAAGATTTCCTAAATATTCTGAAAAATATGTATTTGGAATGGTTCCTATTTCGATAATAAATTTGATTTTAAGATATAAATAGCACTTTAAAATTGATAACCTCTTAATTATAGTACAAGACGAGACGAAAATTTGCTATGTTTCTTGGAAAACTGAATTTCCAAAATATCTAGGATGTACCCAGGAAATATCCCGGGGAAAACCGATCGAACGTATCAGTGACGGTGCCCACCGGACGTCCAGAGTCTCACCGGAAAAGCCCGCAGTGCGGTAAAGAGTCGACGTGGAAAAAAGAAGTTCTATCCAGGATTTTACCTTTTCTTTCCGTATCCAACATTGTCGAGTTCGACGTGTCTGTAGGTCGCGTAAGTGGCCATATCGTTCGCCAGTTGCGTCTCAACCCTCGTCGTCAACGTCGACGTTGTCTCACCCTCGACGTACACCAAAAATACCCTGCTGGATGGTGTCTTCAGACAAACGTCAGACGAAAAATCAATGAAGATGTTGTTCTTGAAGAACACGTCCGCCGAAGAGTGAACCTCTTCCTGTGTTACCGATCAAATGTTTTCCCTTCCCGTGGAAAATGTCACGATATTTGGCTGGTCAAGACCAGGGTTACAATCGGTACCGCGTACAGCCGAGAAACTGGCAGTCGAACGAGGATCCAGCCAGTATATAATGCCTCCTCCACCGGTGCTGCTTCCCTCCTCTCTCTCTCCTTGATACTTTTACCGTCTCTCTCTGATTGCTGCGCACCGCTAATCTTCCATCTCTCTTCAACTATTCCCCCCCCTGCCCCATCCTGTGCAAGCTCTTCCAGTCTGACTTTGTTCTACACGGCTGACTTTGTCCTCTCTCTCTCTCTCTCTCTTCAACGTTTTGTAAAAGCTTCTCCAGTCTAGCTATCTTCTACTAGATGACTGGCTCTCTCTCTCTTCAATGTTTTTTGAAAGCTTCCAGTCCGATTGTATCGTTCAACACTGGGTTTATGTCAATTTTCAATATACGTTCTTTATAGTTTCATGTTTTGATTAAAAATTGCCCTCGGTTCAGAAATTGTGACAATTTGTGTTAAAGAAAATTTCTATTATTATTTCAAGATTTAGCTTAAATTTATGAAAATTAATATTTGAATGTATTTCACAGATGAATTATTTTCAAAGTAAAATTTCATAAAGAAAAATTGAATAATTTTATGAAAAATGCATAGTGGAAGACGTAAAAAGGGTTAGAAATTTGTTGGCCAGTGTTATCTCGTCAGCAGGAAGGACGGAACGTCATCAGGAGCTACCATCCCGCCACCTTTATCACGGATAACCCCGCCAGTCGTGTATGCATTTCCACCCCCGATGGAAGGCCGACGACGCCGACTCCGACTGCGACGCCGACGCCGACGCGACGTCGTGCATTCACCTCAATCAATACACGCTCGGCGAACCAGAGCGGCTCCGGTGGAGCGGGGACCTAAAGCCGCGTAGGTATCGCGCGCGATCCGCTCGCTGCATGTGCACCACGATGCACGTGCGGTGCAGAGCGCAACGAAGATAATGAGCGGAGAGGAGAAGCCGGAGGTGGAGAATGCTCGCCGCCGTCGAGGGCTGCGATCGTTAGGGATGCTCGCCGCGCGAGCTACGGCGCGTGTCTGCACGATGGTACAAGAGTTAGTGTTTGGATTGGTCATGGTCGGACAGGTGGTAACTTTTGAATATGAAAGTTTATCATCGGCATTGGAATGATTTGAATAATTTATGGAGACATTTAAAAGCAATGAAAGTTGGATAGGGGATGATTTTCGGAATTGTTGTAAGAAAAATAAAGGGTGAATCGTGTGATAAGGGGAATCTGAAGCTTTCTTTTGAGTATACTAAAACAATGGTTCGTGGAAGAATTTGAAGCAGAACAATTTGGGGTGAAACTTGGAAGAGGGAAAATTTTACCCTCGACAAGGGTGAGTCACGCAATTGGCGGGGTTATATCTGGAGTTTATAGACAGAAAGAATGTCACAAAAGGGAAAATAGGGAGTTAGAAAAATATTTTGATCTTAGTCAACTCGCTGCTTACACTCCCCTATAGATACCAAGGATCCGTCCGCAAAGTCGGCGACGCACGGTACTTAGACTTTGCGAATCGGAATCTACGGTATATAACTCCAACGAGTCTCGTCGGTTCATGAAACGTTTCAGTACAATCTAACTGTTTCCATACAAGTTTGCTAACCGTCGCAAGTAAAGTGGACATAATGATCGTTGGAACAACTGGCCTTTTCATACGGTCGACTTGGTTGATTCCACAAAGCCAGGCAAACGTTGTCACTATCGCGAAAGTATCCCTCAACAAGCCTGGTATTCCACTTTCAAAAATCCCTGCTATTCTTCCATCAATTTACAATTCCACGGCGTCACGTCCGTTCAACGTCACGCACCATCATTAACGATCAACGAAGTTCAAAAAGCAGGGCTCCCCGCGATTCCATCGCGATTACAGTCTGCCTTCGCGAAATACACGGTTGTGCTAGTCGCAGAAATGTTATTTAACGTGACACGCAAAAATATGCTCCAACACTGTTATTCACAATGTTGCGCTCAGCGACTTTGCGAGTACCTGTAATTTATTTCTGTATTTCACTGAAAGCACTTCGAATCGAGTCCAAAGAAAATTGATGAAATATCATATTTTCTATCAACAATATTTCTACCCTTAGAAATATTACATTTTTAATATTTTCCCTACGCGAACCCTTATTTACAGAGGGGGAAATTTTATTTTTTTTCTAATTAATAAATTTTACCCCAAACTTTAAAATACGTCTGACATCACGCGAATACGAAAAAGGGTTGAAAAACCTTGTACGGAGGACGTACGTTTCCCCTCTCGGAGATCACACGCGGATGCACACCAGACGGGGATCTTGCGTTGCAATCGATGCGAAATTTTAAGGGTTTCCAAAGGGACAGGAGGAACACGAAGGGTTGCGTGTTCGCAGCGTAGCCAAATAACGCGGCTCCTGGGATATGTTTTTCGACTGGACGTAACAGAACCCCGAGTAATTGACTGATTAAATTGTCGTCCCCTATGGGAGCGTTCAACACGCTCGATGGAAGCATCGGGTTACTGGCAACGGAGCTTAAAAGATGAGCGACGAGAATTGATCGATCTGGTAATTTCGTTGGCGCCTCTGAAAAGCTTATGCAAACTCCTCGATGTTTATTTAATGACGAATCTCTACACTCAACAATGACAAGCTGAAGATATTCGAGAGGAAAACTTTCAATGAAGCTGATATATGAATTTATAGTGTTTGTGAATGTGACAATGAGTAAATATCGTTTGGTTTGAACTTTCGACACTTTGATAAATTAGTTTTATTTTTAAACTTGGGTGGACTGAAATGCACTTTTAATCAATGTGTTAATTAGTTTTTTTTTCCCTCTTTTTTATTCATAGTGTCTAGTTTGATTTTGATGCTTCATTGGAGAATCCGCAAGATGTTTACGCTATATGGATAGCAGGGTGGAGGTTACCCCTGAGTCAGCCCCTTTTGTTCCGTATCTAGGACGAGTGCTCTGAGGGGTGAGAAAGCCATCTATACGCTTTGAAGTCCTCTTCGGAACATTCATTCTCGAATGTGCTGCACCACGTATTCGCAAGATGGTCTAGCATTAACGTAGACACGTTACTGTCGACTCCTGTTATTTCAACTAAAATTCTGTCAACATCCCTCCATTTGAATTTCCCTTTCTTCGCTAGCCCATCAAATTAAAAATAAAAACTGACGATTATCTTGAAGATAAAAATAAAATTTCACTGTCTTGTAATATCCAGGTTAATTGTATGAATCAATGAAATCAACGAATAAAATAAAAATCCAATTAATTCCTAGGCTTTCCAAATATGATCAAGGATTAAAAACGGATTGATGGAGTGTAAGATACCGTTAACCAGGAACTTGGACAGCAACTGAATCGTACCGTTAATTCGATCGATTACGTTTCCGATAACTATCGATCGTCGATCAGATCTCGATCCGTTCTCAATGAAAATACGTTAATTAGCTACCGATTTCATCGGCCTACGTACGGATCGTGGAAACGTTATTATTTAAGAACGATTATAACTCTGGATCGGTATTTCGTTAAGGAGCGGCAGAAACACGCGTTTACTACTCGCTCCGATCGTTTGCGTGGCCAACCTTATTTCCGCTGGACAATAAAGAATACCGAGGTTAACTCTCCCATTGAATCCAACGAGCATTCGTTGATCTTACCGTGAAATACCGTGCTTCATCCTTCACGGTGTTTCTTGCGCTGTTTAATGGGGACTCTAACGCAATCTACCGATTTGCAATGGTAAATACAGGAAATTCTTTCATTTTTTTAAATGTTTTTATTTCTCGATGCTGTTTTGTTTGAACGATCAATTTTATGGGACTCCATCATTGTACCACTGTTAACTACTCGAGCGATCATTAAGCAATGTCTTCTTTTCTTAATGGGGTAGTTGAATGTGTAACAGGGTTCTTGTTTTTATAGAACGGATAGTACACGTTTACTTCATCAACGGTTGGTAAGGCGTTAATGAGTAGCCTGTTGATGAAACGGTACCGAAACGCGGTTACACAGTCGGTTTCCGTTTCGAGCGAACGCTCGTGTAGCGGTGTACACACAGGGTGAGCAGCGTGGCAAAAAGGCTAAAACGAGTGGACGGGCTAAAATACAGCGGGCTAACATTAGCCCGTAGGCATCCGCGATATTTTATTTTTACGATTATGTTCGTCGACGAAAGTGTTACCAGCCTGCACGACGAAAGTAAGCCTCGACGCGTAACACGCTCTGCTCGATGATATAATTGGGTTCACGAGGTTCCTATAGGGAGTATTCTTGGTATCTATAGTGCTAGGGTGCAGGATGAAAAATGTTGAACTTTTTCTGTCGCCAGATTAACGGAACCGAATTTGGGAGTCTTGGGTTCCAATGCTGAGAGCCTAAATGCAGCTCCGACTCTCCGGACGGATGTTTAGTACCTATAGGGAAGCACGGTGCAAATAGCAAGTTGACGAAGCGGAAAATTTCTCCGAATCCCTAATTTTGTTAATTTAATGATATAGAAATTTAGTAAACTTAAATCTCAAAGTTAGAAGTCCTAAATTCTAGAGCGTAAACTCAAAGTACCGTGCGTCGCTGACTCTCCGGACGGATCATTATCACAGGTAAAAAGAAATTCAAACTTCGAAAGTAGCAAACACCGACATCCTCTCGCAAGTAAAATGTCATCGTCCTCGATCGAAGAAGTACGAGACACGAAACGAGAACGAAAGAATAAGCACGTGACAGACGATATTCATCCTATTCGAGGCTGTCCGTGACGAAAAGGTGAAATTCTCGCGAAGCGTAGAAATTCCATCAGCATTTTTCATCACTTTCAAGAAATTTGAAGCAGGTTTAAAGCAGAACAACCACGTATTTATCGAGAAACCAGTTATCCAAGTAGTCGAAATTCTATTATATTAATTAATAACGCAAACCTATGTTCATTAGTCCCCTTGAACAACGTCCTTCTGTCCCTCCCGGCGACTCGT